AATCCAAGTATAACATCAGCCTGCACTACTGTACTACTTTCTTACTGACTTACTACGCCAACTGCCTTGTGAAGTGTGATACGCCGTACCTTGCACCGGATGGGGGTCATCGAAAAATTAATCTAAATTAATAACAACAGTCGCATCCTTCATCGAAGAAAGTCTTGTTTCTTTTATCTCCTATTTGCCCCATGTGAGACATCAGCTGCAACCCAGCCCAGCCCTGTAAGTACTAGTATAGCTTAGTGTCAGCAGCAACTCCTGACCACCACACCTCCCCGCCAGAATCGCTTGGCCCGAATAATTTACGCATCCTGATGTGGGCCAGCCAAGGAGGGCCAAGAAAACCGGCCAGGATGCGACCGACTTTGTTGGCGATACGCTTATCCTGAACGCTAGTCGGTAGTACGGCTACGCTATAGTTCCAGGAGTTAGTGGTGATGGCGCTGCTGGTAGTTAGTAGTCCACTAGTAGTTAGTTAGTTAGTTGTGGTTGGGCCCTTGTAAGCTGTAACGTATCTATCTCACACCCCCTCCTCTCTGACATTGCCATTAACTATGAAGTTGTTTGTAAATAAGTAGTCACTTGGGAAGCGCCCGAATGGGTGAAACTTCCTTTTTCGTCCATGTTTCAGTATGTGTTTCTTTTTTTAACGTTGCTTTTTCTTTTATTATTATAAGTTTTATTATTTCATTTTTCCGATTTGATTTGAATCACTATCGTGATAAAGAAAAAGGAAAGGTGATAATTTAGTAGCCTAGCCGGCTTGGTCGGATACTTTCTCTTAGTGTGGTTATTTTCGATTCTAATCGATCATGGACCCCATTAGCGCCAAGGTGTAATAAGAAAATGAAAAAAAGCTGAAGCCTGAAATGGTGGATGATGGATGGTAATGGAAGAAGGCTGTGCAAGACCAGGATACTAACACGTCAAAGCTGAAAGTATTGATTTGATCAATTTTGCCAATGTGGAATGAAGTCAACTAGAGCAGAAGAATGAGAAGAAGGCAAACCTTCAATTTAAAAAACCTTCAGTTTAAATTAAAGTACGGAGTAATTTCAGGCAAAGAATGAAGCAACGGACAAAGCTCGATCCTGGTTGAATTGCGCCCGCAACTTTATCGAGTCTAATCAACGTTACTGGACAATAAGCTCCGGACTATGGGCGACGCGAATTTCCCGGTCAAGCGCCGCCGGGGAGGTAACGCCCGTTGATTGGAGTATGATAAGTCGCGAGCAGATCAGCTATGCTCTGGTCTTACGTGGCCGATTGATTTGCATATGACTGATCCTAGACTGGCTTTTTTTTTTAAGTTCTTCGTTCTTCTCTTTGCCTGTCGGAGTTCCTTGTTCTGCTTTTGGCTGGGTTTTGCTTTGCCGCCCAGAGCTGAAGACCTGCCTACCTGAGTAAAGAGAGGCGTTTTTGAGGAGGGGGAAGAAAGAGGGAGGGCCCACTATCATACTTATCGGACAGTATGTCATGCGAACCATCACCCCGGATAAGATTTGTCAAGCTTTTCACAGGGAATGCCTGGATGTTTGGTCCAGCGGATAAATTCTCAGCTGAGAAGGGGGACACATTAGCAGGCAAAAAGAATAATCATCTGCCTGGCGCTTATCACTGTAGGCTCAGTTGATCCCTGCTTGAGACCAGGATAGGTATTCAGACGCATGGAGGGAGAGGCCTGGGTCCAACGATAGGTTGGAAGTTATGCCACCCGGAGTTATAGTCCGAGAAACTCGTTAGTCAGAATGCTTAACATGACCAGCCAGATCACCAATATCGGGCCAATATTGCGACTATCTTTTGACTATATTAGGACTGGTTTTACTGCGGCGACAAAGAAACTGCTAATCAGGGGAAAGAAATTCCCTATGAGGGATCAGGTGCTCGCCCCGATACGAGTACGAATCGCCACAGTGGCTGTTGTCATCTGCCGAGAAGCCGAAAGTCCGAGTGTACGGAAGTAACGAGTCAAGAATGTCAGCGGAAAGGGAATAAAATGTGAAAAGTACAAAGTAAAATAAGAGGATCCGAAAATCCAGTCACGAAGCCTAAACAACGGCAAAACGGCAAAGGCAGGCGAGCCTACAAGGGAGAAAATGTCGTCAGTCTTGGCCCGAAAGGGTCACTTTCGGGCGGAACCGCTGCGTAACCCGGGGATAGTCTAACCCTAAATAATCATAAAAGAAAAAGGCGTATCGTATTCCCCGTCCGATACCGATTACGAATCGGGGGCATGGAACAAGGTCTGTGCTAAAGTTCTTCTAGACGATACGGAGGGCCTCCAAAGACGGATCAGATGAACACGAGAAATGCCGTAAAGTTATGGTGATGATGGCGACCACCCACAAACCCAGATGAGTGATTGGCGATCGCGTAGGGGTCCAAATCAAGACACAGGATCGGATGGAGCTGGCAAAACGGAAAAAAAGGTTTTACTTTTATTAATATTGTGCACACGCCGGATATCCGGGCATAATTATGAGAAATTCACACATAAAACCCAAGAGACTAATAAAAGCGACCATGGAACAAGTGGAACCCCAGCCACAGTGGAGGAGGAGGGGGCCATGTCTCTCTTCTAAGCGAGCTTAAGGTTCCTCGTGTTGGATTAAGCTTAAGCTTCAGAAAGTCGCGCACTAATCAATTTCCGGTTGGTATCAAGCGATCAGAGCGCCACTGGTATCTTCCTAGTGTAATACGGTAATATTCTTGGCCTTTCCCTGTTTGATTACTGAGAATATTCTCAATTTTCTGAATCATGGGTTTTACTGGAGCCAAGAAACCTCCAAGCCTCCAAGCAGCAGACCGGTCAAGATATGGTCGATCGACTGTCACCGGAGAAGCCAAACTGCGTAAGGAGGGCCGCCACGACTATCATGGTATCCTTCCGTCGTCATGATACGGACGGGAAGCTCAATCAGTGTGCAGCATGCTTGCTGCGGAATGAACATCTGGTATGTGGGAATCCTCCAGCCCTGTAAGCAGGAGCTTGTGTCACCCATCATGTACACCTAGTATGTATACAGTTACTCCATCTGTATACCGATGTATAAAGGCGTCACCTTAACTATTCATGTTGTGCTCCAAGTCCCATACTTGATAGTCATACCGGGCACATCGCTAAGCTTGGTTTAGACTCCACCACCGGAAGTCTCTTTATTTCCTCCCCCCTCTCCCACCCCTCCCTCCGCGCGCCCCCCTTTTGTTCATATCTCATTATTCACCCTGGTGCGATCACACTCAAGTTGATTACTACTCTTTGTTTCGAAGATAAGGAGGGAGGGGGGGGGGGGAAGGTGGGCACGCTCGGCTATAATTAAATCCCTTTCTTACAAGTGAGATTGACCGGATCTGACCTGGTAAGTATATGGTAACAATCAGCCGTAAGACACAAACGGAGTAATCTTAAGCCCCATGGAAAGGTCCAGCAGCAGAAGAGAGAAAGAAAGAGAAAAGAAGAACCGAAGCCTCCACCGGTGCCCACACCAGCCAGCCTCGCTCCCCAGAACCATGGATAATCATCAGGCGAAAAAGAAAAGGTTAAAAACAAGGTTCTATTTGTTTGTGATGAATCCAGCAACTAAATATCAGGCGGATGAGATCATTTGCTGCAGCCGGCTCCCATTTACCCACTTTTTCGGGGAGTCGTTTCTTTCGTCTGGTTGATTTTCGGTATGGCCAGCGCCTAGAGAGAGGCCCAAGCATTTAGTCCTCTGACCTTCAGTTGTCTTGTCTGCTGTGCTGAAAAGGTGTATTGTCAGAGGAAAGAGACCACTAATGGCATGAGAATAAATGAGGAAATAATAATATTACAACAGATTAGTAAAAAAGAAAATATCAATAATCAGGATAATGGTCATGAGAATTCTTTTTCCGGGAGCTGTTCGCTAAATTGGTTTTTAATCAAATACATACGCCAGTCTTAGTCACTCCCACCCTGCACAAAAAGGAAACTCCCATCACCTAATTTAATTTATTATTACATGGTCTTTCAATAAAAACCACTGCTTGACCTTGTGGGGTTCAGAGTTAAGTCGGTTCCCCACCCTATCTCTAATGCTAATTCTTCGAGTAAGCATTATTCTTTTTCTTTTTTCCTTTTCCCTTTTTGCTATTATTATTATTTATTTTTTATTATTATAATAATAATAATAATATTTTTTTATTTCGGGTTCCGATTAGTTTAGTTTAGTAGTCAAGTAGCTGGATTATTATTCTTATTATTACTACCACGATCCCTCTCCCCTTCTTCTCTTTCTACTGCGACTTGCTGCGACTTGCGACCTTCAACCATTCCCCATCTACTGCTCTATAACTGAGTATACCAAGTATAGTACTTGGTGTTGACGGTTAACATTCTATTATCGCCCACTAAACAGTTCGTCGCCCGCCTTGCTGCATCCAAGATCGATTTTAACTGCGACTACAACGCGCTACCTTCCGCCACGGTAAGTCTTGCCTGTACCTGCTCGGCCTTTGCATGCCGTAGCTCCCCTTGTCTCAGCGGCGTTTGTATAACGCTCAACCTCCGCCTGCCTGCATTCTTCTTTATTCTCCTATCAGTCCCTCCCCACTCCTTGTTTCCTATCCCCTTCCTTGCTGCCCTGGTTTCTTTACATTCCATCCCCTCTGTCCTCCCCCTCCCCTCCCACTCCACTCCACTCCTCCACCCTATCCATTCTTCAATCACATAGATGGGAAATTAATGTTGATTCTTGACCCTTCAGATTATTTTCCGCAGTGGGTTCTTCACAGCACCTGCTCATCTCTCGCCTTCTCTTGAAGCTTGGCCTTTTGTTTCCTGTTCCGGGAATATCGCACGCTTGTACGGTGTTTGTTGAACGGCTACCGAAGAGCCGTTGTTCGACTTCCGACCTCATCTAGATTGCCTGCATTCCGGCACATCTTTCAACATTTTTCACCCTACGAAACCCCCGGTACTAGCGCTTAAACCAACAGTCATCACGGGGACCTACACAGATCACCGAAGGTGGATGGAGACGTATCACGGGCACGTCCGCACTCCTGCGGACGCTATCATCCTCTTCGAAGCTTGTCGCATTGGCCTTCTTCCCCGCGTACAGAGACGTCTATCCGAGAAGGAACGTCAATTAATTCGTTCCGGGTCAGTCTTTGTCTGGGATGAACGCGAAGCGGGCATGCGAAGGTGGACCGATGGCAAGTCATGGAGTGCCAGTCGCGTATCTGGAAGCTTCTTAACATATCGCGAGATGGAAGGCAAACGGGGAGGAACCGGTGTTGCTCAGACGACGATGTCGAGAGCTGGTAAGACACCAGAAAGCACACGAGGCAGTGACGACGACCGTGGAGATGGCGCAGACGAAGGGCCGGACGGCTACCGCTACAAGCCTGATGGCTTGATGAAACAGTCCTTCAGCATTACGACATCTACCGGCCAGCACCTCCATCTGATCAGCTACTACTCGAGGTCACATCCGTCTGCGGCCAACCTTCAACAACCGTCGACAGACCCCAATTTGCGACATGTGCGTCCTCAAAAGGGGCTTTATCCGGAGTCTACTGTGAACGATCAACAGAATCTTCCCGTTGTGACTCGTGGTCCTATGGCCGGTGCCGCATATGTGCCTCCTCATCCCATGGCACCCTATGGGCGCTCTCCTGCTGCACACCCGGCGCCATACACTCCTTCATATACATGGCCTCCGACTCCACTGGCTACTCCGCCTGTTCCGGTCCACTATCCATCTTACCTTCCGTCAGTGTCTCAGCCCAATGGTCAAATACCATATGGCCATCAGGCTGCCGTGCCACCTGGTACGCCCTTGCCGCCTCCGCAACCACCGGGATTGCCGGCACACCACGAGCGGCCGGTGCATGTAGCTGAAGTTACGATGGCGCCATCTCTCCATCAACCGTCGAGCGTGCAGGTACTTGCAAGCCGGTCACCACGAGTGCCGCCCGGAGCGCACGAGCTTCTTCACCACCGCCCGAGTCCACCGGAGCTTGGTCCGCCTCGTGAGATTGCGAGATCGTCACCCCGCACACAGCCACATCATATGCCGCACAGCAACGGCATCCCATCGATTGCGCGCAGTCCCCAGCTTATCAGTCAGCCACCGTCCAGTAGCGTACAAATCCCTCCGCCGAGCACGATGGCGCCCAAGCCACTGGAAGCCAGTACCGGCACCACCGTGCCCAGCATCGGTGCGCTGATGAACGGCGCTCCTTCTGGTGGATTGCCGTCGATCGCCGCTCCCCCAGCCCCGGCCGCAGGACGCGCCGAGGGACCCCGAGACATTCCCAGCGAAAAGATCGGGTTCGGGGGAGAAGACATGCGCGCACTGCGGCAACTGGACCGGGTGTTCACCGCATAGTCTGTTGGAGGCATTTTCAGTTCTATTTGACGAAGTTAGATCCTCATGCTGTCGATCTCTTCTTTTATTTTCTTTTTTTTCTGTTGTATACGAATTAGCATATTGCCTTGGTTTGACACTGTTCAGATTGGAATGGTCATGTTTACGACACTTGTGTGGTTTATTCCCTGGGTTTGCTTTGATCCGTTGGTCCCAGGCAGGCTTGAACTGGATCGGCGTTGTACAAGAGGAGCATTGCTATACAGCATGGGTGGGGTCTTTTTCTAAATGTCTTGTGTGATTTTGTGTGCTGCATTGATGTTGATAATTGCATTGGGTTCGGTCACGACCGGCGGTTGGGCTGCGATGATACACCCTGAATACAACAGATCAAAATTCGCATCCAACCTACTTGTAGTTGCAGTCGTACACCAGACCAGGATTGATTCATATATCCCCCAGTCCAGTGGCAAAAATAGCATTCAGTAATGCCACAATCTTATCTCTGCGCCTACTTTTCCTAATGGATTTCACTCCAGCCGACTAATGTAACTGACAACTACTTAAGTGACTGACACAAAAGTCTGTGCTGTATCCAACGCTGTCAAACCTGGCACGGCATGAAGCATCAGCCTGGCCAACCTGACATGGGCCATCATGAATTCATGCCATCGCTCAGCGCACCGACCCTGTCTACAGCTGAAAGCAGCTCGTTCGTTTGGCAGGGTTGAGGGCCTGCTGCAGTCCAGCTACTAATTCATCACTATCCATCCATCCATGCTTAACCTACTACCCTGTCTGTCTTACTACCATGTATGTATATATCACTACCTCGTCCAAATTTCAATGAGTAACTAAACATCTAAATAGCTACAACTAAGTAACCGTAATACCATAACATAATAAGCTAAGTTACAATGGCATGTACTCATTAACACTCAAGCATCTAAAATAGCATCGAAGATCAATATCCGCATCTACATATCGGAAAAGTCAATTTCCTGGCGACGATAAGAAACTATTGCAGCCCTGCATACAGTAGGACTTACGTACGTATTGTACATGCATTCAATGCAGTGTTCCTTGTCATATGTATGAAGATCGTTCCTGGCTTGCAGATGGAGATTGGGAGAGAAGATTCCATCGGAGTATGGTATCTTAGTAGTGACTTGTTTGTTTGGTTGGTTTACCTTTCAGCGTGGAGGGACTGGGATGATCTGTACAGTAAGTACATAGATGACGATCGGAGTGGAGATGACAGGCAGGACTTGAGATGTGTTGGGAGGTGATGTGTTGGCATCTGGGCTAGGGAGTGCGGAGTCGAATTGGGGTGTGTGTGTGTGTGTGTGTGTGTGTGTGTGTGTGTGTGTGTGTGTGTGTGTGTGTGTGTGTGTGTATCTTTGCTTTTTGTTGTTCTTTCTTCTGCTGCTGCTTTGGGGGAGTAAGTTGGTTGATTGCTTTTGCTGGGTGGGTTGGGAATATGGAAGTAGGGTTGGTGGGTATTCAATCTTGAGGATGAATATGTTGGACATTGATTATGGTATAGGTGAAGGTGGAGGGGATAATTCACGGTTCGTCAAGGCTATATAAGTATCTTGTTTCTTGTCTTCTTCCTCTTCTTCTTTTTTCTCTATGCCCACTTTCCTATCCGTTTAGTCAAAGCTACACTATGTAGTGGCCATTGATCAAGTTATAGTAGTATACATCAGGTATACATAACCTACTCGGTTCAACCCCCTTGATGCTTTCTCTTTTAATTTACTACAATACTCTATCTCCAGTTTATTCATAAAAACTACAGAACTACCGAAGATATTGGCAATGTTGTGCACCATTTAGCGGCAATGATAGATGATTCGTTCGGCGCAGTTTAAAGAGCGAAACCCTCCCGGACATATATTTAATTATAGCAGAGGAAGAACTGCTATCTACCACGGTCCCATCGTTCCAAACCAAGCCTTAGAATAGACAGTGATGCAGCTAGATTATGATATGTACCATCGAAGATGAATGCCCTTTTCCTCAACTTGGCTGGCAAGGGCAAGAAGGGAAGGGACCCATGAAATGAGACTGAAACTGAGCCGATCTCAAATGATGCAACAGCTTCCACATTAACATCAAGTTCCTGCCATCGAGGTCTGGTAGATGTCTAACTTCATATACTATATGCCGTGGCGTACCTGAGAGACAGAGAAGTCTGTATAGAAACCACTTGTGTACAGTCTATCGGGGGATATTTACCATTGTTGAGCAGAATTAATAGCCTCATAACGCGCACAGCTTATATATGAGTAGGTCAATCTGATCGACGAAATACAATTTGGGCGTGTCTATAATCTATCAACCTGATTATCATTGGGATCAATTATGGTCCGGCCAGGATAAACCCACCGACAGCCATTGCTCTGAGACAAAGTCACGGCCTTGATGCTTGGGGCTTATAATGAAGACTCTACAATAGTCTTTTCTGGTCTTGTGCGTTTGCCAATAAAAAATAAAGGCAGTACTATACTAATATCTGCCAATTATTTAGACTTCTATTGCCATACTCTGGTTACATCTTGCTTCTCTGGCTTTTCCAAGACCCCCACAATGACGAACAAGGGGATGACGATTTCCCATACGTGTGGTAGAGCTACCACGGTGCGTTCCCTTGAGATAAAGCACGCCACTAGTACAATTACCACTATTCCTGCCGAATATATTTCAAAGAAGTACCATCCTAGCATTTCTGAGGACTTGGACGACGATATGTCTGTCCCAGCAACTCCAGGTCCAGCATATTCTCTTGTCCACATCACGACCAAATGAGAAAGCATGGCTTCGTCGCTAAACTGCGGCTGATAGCGTTGTTTCTCTTCGAGAATGTCAACTCCACTTCAAAAGCATACAACAGATCTACGGGTTCTTCACAACCTACAGACAAATAAAAACAGATACATACACACGTGCATGAGCATGATATGTCCTACAGAGTTAGGAAACATTATTAACCATGGGGATTGTTGTTAAGATGAATATATACAAGGCAGGTAATGTTTGACCGTGACATTCAGCTTGTCACTGGCTTTTAATTGCAAATACTCACGCTTGAGATGCAGTATCATTCCCCATTCTCATACTGGCACTCAGGTCGATCATTGTCGAGGATCTAAAGCATTCTTGCACATACCAATATTGGGCGTGGGCCCATGTACAGAACTCCTCAAAGTAGGATGACTAGAATGCCCTTGTCAATGTGGACAAGAAATCGGCCAGATGCCATACAGCCTACCCCGGAAACAGAATGCAGAAGATACCATCATCGTCGTCTATCTATCCTAAGCAAACCGACTGCCCTCCTGAATCTGCTCCAACTAAATACCAGTCGCCAAAGGTCCAGAAGCTTGGGTCGCTCTACGATGAATATGGTTCTTGGTTCTGACGATAGGCTGAGTTAGCCAAGATTGAATATCAAGCTGTCGTCAAAAGAGCTCTACATTCCGGAGAGGGCCCCAGTAATTAAAAGCTCGAGTGATAAGACAGAGTATACAATAGAGTGGGGGTTGTTGAAGCCGCTACCGCCGCGTATCTATGGCTCGCCGACATGGGCCGTTTCGAATCAATGATCCGGATATTCAGACTATGATTTTGTTTTTACAGTTTATGGATTACTAGAGGCTACAACTAATGACTTCCAAGTAGCAACTTCCCTAAAAGCCTGTGAGTATAGCATAATAACTCATAGCGTCAAGCCAGAACTGACACGACAATAGGATCTGGTCCTGGCAGGTCAATTGCTGTGAAGGAGAGAAAGATTGAAACCATAGCATGGCAAGCAGTCTACCCTGAGTTCATCAAAAGCATATAAGATCTCTGGATGCTAAATGCCTGGTAGGATAACAGTCCTTTGAAACCAGTTACTGCGTCCAAATCGAAGCACAGGAAACCCAACCCTCTTGACAATCATCAGAGATCCTGCTGCTTATGGACGCGGCAGGATGAGGAAGGGCAATGGTAGTCTTCTTGCGTACTGCGCTGCTCTAGGAGAGGTACTGCGAGGGGCTCAACACCGAAGCCCCGCCGCAGGGGCCCGAAATGTCGCCGGTGCACTTGATCCCTGGCGGGGGCGGAGACATCGTATGCTTCACTGGAGTTGTTGTCCCTGAGCTGGTTCGCGTGCTTTCCGAAGCGAAAGGTGAGACCTCCAAATTGTCTTCGGCCAAATAAAGCCTTGTATCTTCCAAAGATAAGCAGGTGGAAAGATTTTGCAGTGGGATACTCGACAATATCTCTGCAATTCCGGCATGCTACCAGCACTAGCCATGAACGCCATCCGATATTCTCTACTGTACTCAAGTTGAGCAAATATGGCCACTAGTGTCTGCCCATCATCGTGCAGACAGCCCAGGAATGGGACATCTCGCTCCCAAGGCACAGTGTCAAAAGCATGGTTATATTGCATAATGCACGCTGTCGCTGCATAGGCTGGGGATTAGCTGTACCCAGCGGATCTTAATAAGAAAGGAAGCCTCATGTTGCACGAAGTGTATGCATCCACTCGAGTAGCACTTCTAAATACTATGACAAAAGCTATTCTGCAACTATCTGACAGGGAGCTTTTTCTGTCTGAAACCCGTAGAAGTCATAAAGTGGCACGATATGGTAGAACGGCGGCGTATCTCTGCCAATGCTCGTCCTGTCAATGAGACGATAGTGTGGTCTTCGTTCTCCAGTGATGGAGTGCCTCCAAGCCTGGATCATCAGATCTGTCCGGTGTTGGACATCTTTTGAATTATGGATCTTCCAAGATTGCCAATATTCCGGTCAACAACAGATGGGCAATTGCAAGATAAGCAACCTGCTTCTATGATGATTTCATACCATCTAGACATTGATTATTGCCAGAATCAGACACAGACATGGAAGCTGATGGGCTCTGAAAATATCAACAGCAAGGTCCAAAATACCCTCAGGTAGGTGAGCAGCTCTAACTAGCAGAGATAGAGACAAGCTGCATCGTCCCTTTGGACACTGTCACAGAGGGTATGCGACTTCGACATATCCGGAAGGACCTCCTGATGCAGCGGATGGGGAAGACATGCGAGGTCTCTTACAGGCTGGAGAGGACTCCGAGTTGAAGACTGAAAGGTTCTCTGAAAAGACTCTCTGCGTTCCCACGAGGCAAATGGGGTATATCCCGCCAACAGGTCGAAGAGGATGTGCCGCTCGCCGTTGTGACACTCACCAAGTCACCCAAGGAGGTCTGGTACACTAGAAGGAGGGTTCTTACCCCCTACCGAGCACGGGAATATTGAAGAAGTTAGCAAAGAAGATTCTGCCTGTTTTGTTTACACCCACTATGATGTACACCGACCATTCGATCTGGGAACGGGCCACAATCACGAGGCCAAGGAAGGCGATGCTTATAAGGCAGGGCAGAAATGATCAAGGGGGATAAGAAGCTGCAAGCAATGATGGCCCATATACAAACTTGGTTCTAGATGCATACATGCCCTGGAGACGATGTTGCAGACCTCATGTTTTCAATAGTCATTTTGGGAAGAGCACCCACGAGAATTGGGCTGGAAGCTTCTCTGTTTTACCAGTCACAAAATCCGAATTAGCTGTTAATGCCAATAGAGAATGAGTTTTACTTCTGGGCCCTTATAATTAGCAGACTTAGGAAGCTTTCTTTAGGAAACGACGATGAAATGACATGTTACGGCTGGATAATACCGGCAGATTTGATTGATTACACCTGCTCCCGTTGAATTTTTGGAGAATACCGATGATTCCTCGATAAACCCAGCCTTGAATATAATTAAAAATATAGGCGCAAACCAAAAACTATAGTTTATCCCAAGTCACACTTCAAAGTAGCTTTTTAGCCTTCCATTTGTTAAAGAGTGTGTTCTCCTCGTATGAGCATCTGTACCTTACGAGTGGTATATACCGCGTAGGCCTTATATAGTATGTGACATGAAACGCCTCCGCATATATAAAGAATAAAAGCAGTGCTGCCTGCCTCTGTTGAAGGAAAATTGGCGTTCCGTAATATCCCCGGAATATCCCCAGAAAAAACAACTGCAGAGATATAGTTGCGAAAAGAGATATAAGGGACCAATCCAGTTCCATAATGTACTCCCACCATTCTGTCCGAGTCGCCTCATGCCCTCTCTATTCAACCACAGCATTCACAATGTCCAACGACTCCAGCCACACCATGGAGTGTGAAGAGCCAGATGAGTGCACCCAACCCACCGAACCCAACAAACCCATCGAGCTCAACAAAATCATCCAGTCCATCGAGCCCATCTGGCCAATCATACCTCTCAATCTCAAGCGATATTTCCCAACCACCAAAAGCGAGAGCTATGAAGTCGAACCCTTCGAAGCCAGCCCAAACCCCGAAAAAGAGAGCGACAGCGACGACGAACAGCTCTTCCAAGCGCAGAAGCTCTATTTCCGGGACCACACCAACCGCAGAACGCGCTACTCTGTCTAATCATCATATACGGCCATTCCTCCCACGAGGAAGCATGCAAAGAGGCCTTACGCATATCCTGGCATCGCAATAGGAAGAAAATGTCCTCGAAGGTGATAATGGGACTTATCATCGATGAAGAGAAACAGGCGTGGTTCCGCGGCAGTCATACTGACGAGAGGTATATCAAGAAGATGGGCCGAAATTGGGTTGCGAATAATGAGTGTATGCTGAGAAGGTACTTTCGTACTTTTCGACGCGGGTTGAGGAGACATGCTCCTAGTCCGGGGTATGATCCTGGGTTTGAGTCTGGGTCTGAAAGTGAGTTAGATCTTGTTGAGCAGGGGTTATTTGCGGATGGAGATGTGGATAAGTCTGTTGTTTCGGATGCCGTCAGTTCTGATTGCGATAGGGAGGGTGTGGATGGTCCTGATGGGGATGATGCTGTTAGTTCGGGTTCTTCTGGGTCTGGTCATGATGAACTACCGTCTGACGAGACTGATAGTGATGATGAAACTTGGGTCCCTCCTGAGAGTGATTCTAATGAGAGTTCGTCATCTTGACTGCTTAGTCTTGAGCGTGTTCGTCCTATTACTTTAGGGTTCATGAATCAGCCTCTCGCTCAGACTGATAGTGACGATGACGATGACTCAGATGAGCCTGAAGTTGATCCTGTTTTATTTGACTATGAGTGAAGTATTCTTGTTTTGGGTGTCTAAACAAAGATCTGCTTGATTATTGATTGATTATGGTGATTCTAACTGCTCGTGCAGGGGATCATACGAATATATCGGATACGAAAGAGCAGCTGAGCGATGCTTCATCGCTCATGCTTGCCCTTAGGCGGCGTCGTGAGCCTGCTCAGCAAGAGAAGGAGAGGAGTATACTCGGTTCTAAGGGGCATTTGAATGATGGTACATCGCTTGTTCTTGCTCTGAGACAACGTCGGGATTCTGCTATATAATACTCGATGCTTTGGAGCATCTTTGACTAATGATATTACTACTTACTGGGGGATATTCTGTGTATAAGCTCGTAGCATACCAATGAAGCTACTCTAATGATATCTAAAGACAACTATCTACATCTCCCTCATCTCTGCAGCTAATGAGATGGACATAAAAGCGACATCAAAAGACAGGATATCACGTGACACTATCCCAAATCCCCATGATCAAGACATCCACCAAAAGAACACATCAGTCTCAATACAAAACTATTAGAAGAAAAAGCCCATTCCATTCCAAACTCAAACATCTCCATCACCACCGCAATCCTTCCCGCCAAGACATGGCATACCCATCATCACCATCAGGTGACACCCTACTATCCAACGAACTACTCAGCAGCCATCCAAGCCACCAAGCCACCACCACAGCAGCAGCAGCCGGTTCGCTGCCCAGCTAGCTACTAACTAACTAACTAACTAGTAAGGAATCCAGAACGAACCTTCTTCCACCTTCCATAAGACAACAACATGACTTGACCCCATGCAGAAAAGCAAAAAAAAATCGGGTGGAAAAGTTAGCTAGCTATTATGGTACTTTTGGTTTCTAGTTGAAATGGGTTGCTGCCCAAGTTACGGGTTTTTACTATAGAGGGATTATTGGTTCGGGGATGTGTGTGGGTGTGTGTGGGTGTGTATGGGTGGGTGTATATTAGGCACTCTTACTTTTTGATTTGTGTTGCTTGCGGGTACGTACGGGCTGAATGAAGTATGAGTAGGAATGAATGGAGGGGATGGTTGGTTAGGGACAGAGAGAGAGGGTTGTGGAGTGGGTAGGTAGGTAGGTAGGTGAGTCATACTGTGTGTGTGTAGTATTTATGTATGTATGTGATGATATAGACATGTCTTTGAGTGTTGGTACATACGTAGAGATGTAGGTATTTGTGTGTGTATGTATGTGTGCTTTTGTTCACTTGGTAGTAATACTTTGTAAAAGCAAGCCGAAGGAGTAGAAGTCTCTATATAGAATACATACATCACCTATTTACAGATCTACTGTAGTGAACTTCACATACTTTTACTCATGTCTCAACTAATCAATAATCAACTGCACAGTATCATCATCAGATCTCTTGGTACCGTCAGTACCCAACCGCACGACACATAATACTCCCATCCACCCACTGTACGTAGTAAGCAAGTCAGTAAGTAAGTTAGTAATTAGTGGGTCAAAGACACCCATCCTCCCTCGGTCGGTCTGTCTGTCTGTCGGCCGACCGACCGGCCGACCGGCGCCTCCGAGAAACGGAACAGATCACATACACCTCCTCCTAACTATTAGGTACCTATTACCTATAGTCAAGAAGTGAGAAAAAAAAAAGGTCACATCATTCATTCTGAAGAAGGGGGAAACCGGGGGATGCCCGTGGTAGCTGGAGAGAGCAAAACCAAGACGATTGCCAACTTCTGCACAATGATTGGCTGAAAGGCTGTATGCTTGGCTGAATAAGTGTTCTTTAATGGGCGATGCTATTGGTTCAAGCTTAGACGGTTTTTAAATTTTGTTCCCCGCAATTGTTGGGTCAGTCAGTACTTAGTGTTTTGCTTGGGTGGATTTGATCGGTGGATTGGGGATGGGATGGGCATGGGATGGGATGGGGCTGTGTATGGATGGATGGATGTTGTTTGTATTGTTGTTGTATGGGTGGGTGTGTGTGTGGGATGGGTGGGATGAAACATTAGAGTACTATTGAGGATAAGGGTTGTTTTGGTTGTTTTGGTTTTTTTCTTGTTTATTTCGTTGTTCTATTCAGGGTGATTTTATATCAAGAGGGAGAGAGAAAGGGAGATATTAGTTATCTATCAATAAGAAGAACAGTACATTCTGGTTACTCTCAGAGCATTGTGTATGTACTGTGTACAACAGAGCAGCGTCAGAGAAATTACACTAACCGGAGTGGAGACATGGGGGATAAGTACTGTGCCCGCTTTATGCAGGCAATCGAGAAAACAAGCGGCTCGCTAGGTAGCTAAGTGTTAGGTAGGTCACCATAAGCAGTAAGTAACTAGGTAACTACCTGAATAGGTAATTGGATTGATGCGACGACAAAAAGTTGATCTACATGTACGAGTCGGGGTTTCTGATGTATACATTATTCCCATCAGGGTCACTCTACATATCTACGTTCGTTGATATTGTATTCTATTCTGGGATATTATTTACAGTTTTCTGTCTTTATCCTCGCTTGACATATAAGTAGTGTGAGGTGATGGAAGTGATTATGTGGTGTGGTAGGTAGAAATGCCCTATAGGGTAAATAGTAGATAGCTTCCTCTCACTCCCTCACTCACTAAAAATACTGCCACACTGCATGCACATGCTACCTCAACATACTAGCTAGCACACAGCCATAAGGAGTATCTATCTGCGAAGCAAAGAGCATAGAACCCCACAGAACTTCCTGGAACCGGACTCAATTCTCATCATCTCATGCAAGCTACGAATCAGGGCCATGCGTTAGTTATAACCAGGGCCTGAGTGGTCAGTCAACACCTATGTCAATCCATTCATCCCACCACTTTAGACTACGGTTAGTGTGTTGGGATGTGCCTTGCCTGCCCCTTTAGCAGGTTAATCATAATAAACCTGTTACTAGTATAAGCATCAACATCATCGCTCTCAACCGACGCACAAAGTTAAAGTTGGGTCAGCGCTTACTAGAGTAGGAACTGTAGCTGCCTATCCGCAGCAGGGGCTCGGCTGACTTGCCCGTTCTAATGCAGAGAATGGTCAGGTGGTATACGGTTATTCTGGTTCGTGTTTCGTAGACAATGCCAATATACACTACTTACGCAACGGGTATTGTGTCCGTCTGTTGAGTGTTTATAGCTTTTTTATGGAAACGGGATTATGGCTGCCGGGTGGCGGGAACGGAGCTTTGATACGGTCGGATGTATACCGGATGCTCTTATGGATGGATGTAGGTGCTTGTTAGTCCTTAATTGTCGAGTTTATAGTGATAATGTGATGAAGTGGTGGGTGAATAGGCATCACCATAACGTAGTCTGTATGGCGTGCCTATAGATTCGACCGTATTGACAAACTAAGACCAAGCACATCCAGGTCTCCGTGTCACCTCCGCATTTACGCAAGGAGTGATGAGGAGAAGACGATCGCAACGGATGAAAAGCGAAAAAGCTGCGAGTCAAGAGATCTGCTCAGTAAGTACAATACTCGGTACGAGACTCCGCAAGGACAAGAATGGCGGGGTAGGTAGGTGGTAGGCGTCTACGTGGACAGGCAGGCATAAGGCAAGGAAATCCAGTCGTACACCCATTTGTGAGCAGATGCAGGCCTTGTTGATCTGAAGCAAAAAGATGAGGATGAAGAATTTAGGTGACCAGAACCGGCGGTTCACTCCCTGTCTCTCTCTCCACTGGAATACGGCGGGAACACCCTTCCGTGGATCCACTTGTCCCGTTCCACTGACTCTCCTGGTTGAGATGGCGCTGTTAACCTTCTCTCATGCAGTGGTTGGGCTCATGCCCGCCCGCTTATTGTGCTTGCTTTCTAATGGGAAATTGGCGCAAAGGCAATGGCTCTCTCGCCATGTACGTATACCCGATGCGGTAGAGTAGTATGGAGTGCAGGAGGGGTCTTGTCACGGCCATTCCGTTGGTGAGTGGGGCGTGTTTCAACCCAGGCATTGTCGCTCCATCATGAATGCTTAATTTTCCCAAGCTGGCTAACTCGAATTCCCTGTTGTAGCAAATTGATCGTGAGGAGTGCACTTGCAGCGTCAGCACCTGCTGGGCTTTCCGGTGACCGGGCACGAGTGTTGGTTAGCCATCGTGACTAACAGAAGCTAGGCGACCTAGTGTCTTGTACCTGCCTGACCCTAAGACCGGCTTGACTCGTAGAAAAACGGAGGACTCGTGGGCTGAGAGAGCATAGCGCAAACTCTCCAGCTTCAATAGCAGCACCTGCTTAGGTGCTGGGTACATACAAGGTACTGTAATCTTCGTTACGGATTTCCCCATTGGGCGATCCGCCGTCTCCCACGACGCTTTCTTTTGTGCTCTCTCTCGGGCGAGTGCCAGAGGGAGAGGGAGAAAGAATCCACTCATGACCTTGGCTCTTACACAAAAAAAGCCATCGTCATGACCATCTGACCATCCATGATCATCAAGCTTAATCGCTAGAGCGAACCGGACGAGTGCTAGAGTGAAACCGGCGACACGCGGATAAATCAACGGAAAAGGGGAAGAAGCGAGGCACGGTCGGACCCAGACGCCTAGTCCGCTTTGTAAGTAGTGGGAAAAAGAATACGGCGCCAGAGCCTCTCAAGCTCCGAGCTCGAGCTCCAGCCAGCCTAAGCTCTAGCTCCACTTCCGAATTCGTCGTCTGGCAGATGGCGCGGACTACTACTCTTCGCCAGCCGTTTCGAATCACCGTCAGCCGTGAGGTCCAAGCCCTCGGAAACATAGTCCTCCAATAAAAGTCCGCTCTCTCCTCATGTCAGGGAAGGCAGAACATCTGATGAGAGGGGAAAGACAGCGTGGGAGGGCAAGGTCGAGTGAGGAGACCACCTGCGATGGAGGAGGACAGACCGTTGACCAGGACCCCCAACACGGCGATCCGTCGGTCGCGATGACACTCACGTACTCCCTGGATGTAAGTAGGTGTGATTAGTAGGAGTAGCAGTATTAGTAGTATGACTATGAGCGTTTACGGAACAGCTAGTTGTAGTACCTAGTCCTACTACAGGATCATTTGCAGGCGGCCTCTGCCTATTTTGCACGGAGCCTTCCCGGGGTGCCGTGCGCATAAACAGGGAACCAGTCGCCCATGACAAGATCACAGACCTGCCAGATTGAATTTGTCTCTGGTCACGGGAAGAGATGTAATACATCCAGTACCTACAGGAGTCACTTCCAAGCCATCCGTGCCTGCTTTGGTGGACAGATGGGTTGGCCGTCCTGGATGGAAGATTCATCTGCAGTGCCTTGAATGTCCGTGCTGGGGGCGCACAGGAGAGGAGATCTGGCCCACTTTTCCCCAGATTGTCAGGGTGAGGGCTTTTCTGGCCTTCCATTCCTGTCGCCGTCTGTAACACGACCAAGGCATGCTCGGAGGGGTATGTCAATCCTCGCTAATTACCGTCCGATCTGCTCTCACGAATAGCTTTCGCAGTATCTCTCAGCAGTCTGGGGAAGAGATCGGACGACTCGAAAGGAAGGCGTCAGACTGGTCAGACGGATCACAATGCAGGGAGTACAAGAGCTCCAAGACTAGTACCTCAAAGGGAAATTGGCCTGTGGTGTCACTGCCCGAGCATCTGGCCATCTCCGCACTTGTCCAACACCGGCTGATGAGACCCAAGAAAATGAGAGAGACAGAGAGCGCAGCGTCCAAGGTCGTCGTAGCGTGGGGTGTGGCGTCCAGCTGAGCCCGAGCCGTGTCATCCCGGCATGCAAGTAATACATAAGACCGACTAGAACGCTACGCCCCGTCATCACCACCGTCATCGGCGTCGCTCTTCCACTGCAGCAGGGCTGTCCGCGAACACATGGTGCATTCAATGCTTCAACGTGTCCGGTCTGTGAGAGATGAAAGAAGGTCTTGACTTTTCGCCTCTCTCCTTTCGATATGCTAGAGATAGATCGAAATGCGTAGTTGCTTTTTTTGGTAGACTGATCGTCTGGTGTGGTCTTTGGGGGCCCCGAAGATTTACACTGGGAGAAGCCAATCCTCCCGTTCTTGTTCCACCAAACCATTAGGGGCCCGGGGGAAAGTTAACTGACTATACGAGAACGAGATTCCCATGATCACGGTCAGTCGGTTGCTGGTTCCCACAGCAATACAAGCACCACCACCAACTCCACCTCCACCACTGCCACCACCTGCACATACCGGTGCGAGGCTGCTCCATAATCTGGACCTGCTTCCCGCTGGCATTGTGTCATCAGGACGGATTCGGGGGTTTCCAGCTGCAGTTCGCAATCAAGGTGACGAACTCTCTCATAGCGACGCGGCCCTGTACCACTGGGGAAGGTTGCCAGTCAATCTGGTTGTATGGAGACGGCAATAGCCTCACCGGATGGGGCAGATCCTCCACGCAAGCCAGTCGCTAGTTGCTTCGGCCATCACTAATTTTTTTTCACTCTAGTCTTACAGGCTGTCAAGCCCCTGGGAGAAGCAGAGGGGAGGGGGGAGGGGAGGACCATCCATTGCATTCTGGACGGGTCTGGGGAATCACCCACACCGGCCGGTCGCCAACCGAAAGGTGTGCCCAGCAGGATCTAGTGGTGAGCGACGAGGATCATCCGTCCGGCGACCTTTCCAGGGTGCACCATCCATGCGTTGGACTAGGGAAGGTTTATTTTCTGGAGGGGGACCCTCCCAGCTGGGGCTGTTCTACTGGGTGTAAAAACAAATTTCTCATTCGAGCAGCATCATTTGCTTTTGCGTATCCACCGTGCTGGAGCAGGAGTCAGTGGAAGCTGTAGGAACTGGAACTAGGCACTCGGCACTAAGGAAGGACGACGAAAATCAGGTCGGCGAAGAGAATCGCAGGTTAACCTAGTGAAGTTTAGCATCGCTTTGGCTCGCTTCTTTGGCGTTTTTCTCCGTCTGGCGATGGACCAATCAGAATGCAAATGTGCACTGTCTTGGCGTTCCTCGACCCCCCCGCATCCATGTTAGAGTTTAAAAAAAGCGCAGCCCGGGACGGGATGGATGGATGCCCTACTGACCCTGTCTTTTTTTTTTTTTCTCCTTCTTATTTTATTTCACCTGGTTTTTGTATTTATTTAGTTATTTTGTTTGATTTTCTTGATCATCATCATTCCCAGATCCTTTGACCCGCTATGTTAGAGAAATCAATAGAAACAAAACGCCTTAGATTACTCAAAGTAGTAATGGTCGAACTGCCGGTATAGTTGGCTTGTCTGGCACGCTGCGGAATCTCCGAAAAGTGGGCTTGGCTCTGGCGCGCATTGTTGTCATTGTCACGGTTAATTATTGCGATTCTCCCCAGACAGGAAGCATTGATCACAAAGTTTGCCTAGTTTGGATGCCCTCTTGATGGGGTCCACTTCCATGCCTCCAATCACTCCCCGACCGATGAGGAGAAGAGAATGAACCAGAGATGAGCAGGAGGATACTAATGATAATCCTAATGTTGGGAAAGTCCCCATCAGCATACATCACGAGAATGTTCCTCCTAAAGGAACTGTTTCTCGGAATTTTCAGGAAATTATAATAGATTATTTTTTACTTTTTTGTGCCTTCATTAATGTTGTTGCGCACGGTAGCTACTGTACTTATGTCGGTAGTAGTAGTATTAGTAGTCTGACGGGCTCTAGAGGCGTCAGTCAGTCAGTCCATAGCTCAACCATCAGAACTATAGTACTAAGAAACAAGTTGGTAGCAAGTAAAAATCATGAATTAACCACAAAAAGACGAAGAATTATAATTATAATTATAATTCTCATAATACTCCGGGTGCAGCCCAGAAGTACTACTAAAAATTCTACTAACTTTCTCCTCCTACTATTATTACTGTTACTACCCTCTCTCGACTTGCCCACTTGGGTTGGTTACCTTTCCGTCTTGCCATCCATCCCCCTCCAAACCATCCATTCACAGAGAATTACTGTTAATACCTTGCCCCATCCCCATCCCCATCGCCATACCCGTCCATACAATACGGATTGTCAGGAACATTATTCATTCCTATGACTACTGTTCGGAATCCTATTGAATAATAAGAAAGACAAAAAAAAAAACTCAAATTCAGTTCTTTGGTTCTACTTCCTCTTGCCAGTAAAAATACCATACTATTCCTTATATTAACTCGCTTCCCCATCCTTTCCTTCTCCCGGATCTTCGAATTCAGCCTCGTTTCAAGAGGAAAGATTTCTGCCTCTAGTGCACTCCCACTCTTCAATCACTGCCCACGGACGATCCACTACTACTCCTACCACTTCTTACTACCACTACTATTACAACTATTCTTACACTAACAGCTAACTGATTGACTGATTGAAACCTGCCTATTCCCCATCCACTCACACCACGAAATCTTCCTGCTCAACTACCGACTAATCTCCCTCGGGTCCAATCCGTGCTTCCACTAAATCGCAGCCAAGTCTTGAACTGCTCCCCACTCCAATCATAATTACTCTATAGGGAGATTCTATTATCCTCAACTCACTTCTTCACCTTCCCCTCCTTAAACAAGACCTCCCCCAACAACCTCCTTCTTAAACCACCTTCTTCCCTCCCCCAATATTGCCGAAGCATTGTCGCCCGTCTACCCCTCTTCCTCGCGCTGGTCCAAACTCCCCCAACCTACCAACCAACCAACTCATTTCGCTTCCCGTTCGCTCACCTTCCTTTCCACCTCATCCTCCCACCCCCTCTTTATCGCCCTCCTCTGTCTACTTCGCAATCATAGCGCACCTCAACTTGAGGTGTGTATGGGCCAATGTTGTCCATGCAGAAATCTCACTCCTATGTGCTCCCTCCATCCGCTACCTACAATAATGTCACCGGTCTCCCTCATGCCATGCCATCGGCCAACCCGGCAGCTGAGCGTCGCGACTCCACCCGCTCGGTCATGTTGACGGACGTCCCCGCCCTCGGCGACTGCCCATTAGTAGACGACTCGTCACTCTCGCACCGAAACAGCATCAGCACCACCGACGGCATATCTAACGATTCGCCCGCCTCGTGGGATGGCGACGCCCCCTCCGATAATTCTCCCTCTGCCGAGGTCGACGTCAAAATTCAAGACGGCTTACACCATCCATTTCCGACGACCTCAGACACCTCGCCGAAAACCTTCCGATTCAACGTGATCGCATCCCACGGCATGGAGGCGTCCATGGACGAGGTCACGCCCAAGATCGAGGAGATAGATGATGTGGACGAGTTGCAAAGCATAAAACCGGTGGGAGTGGAGACATCGATGGCCCATGCGAGTTCTACCCATCCGGATTCCACGGCTGCTCCCGTCAACGTCCCACGGAAACGTGGACGACCGCGCAAACATCCGCTGCCAGCGCCCGGGAATCAGATCAAAATCACCAAGGGTCGATCCAAGACGGGTTGTATTACCTGTCGTCGGCGGAAGAAGAAATGCGACGAAACCAAGCCAGCGTAAAGCTCCCGTCCTCCTTTGACTGGTCCATCCTGTGTCGCAACGGTCGCAGTGGTTAACTTTCTTTCCCTTCCTGCAGGTGTCTCAACTGTCAAAAGAATGCCGTAGTATGCGAGGGCTACCCGCCAAAAGAAATATGGAAGAGTGGTAAGCAGAAGCTTGAGGATGGTAAGTGCACCTTGGACCGTGGCATGCTCGAGCTGCTTTGCTGTGCGTATTTACTACTCCTGGTTGCTTATCCGGCACCTTTGATCCAATTACTCTTGACACTTGTGTGAACGTTCTGACTCCTTGGTTTCACAGCAGTTCGCACCCAGAACATGGTTGCCCGCTCTCTACCTCTGCTTATCGACGGCATCGAAACCGAGATTGACCGACGCTTCCTCGATCATTTCGTCTATGGCTTTAGTCGCGTCTTGACCCTGATCAACGATGACTCCAACCCGTTCAAGGAGATATTGCTCCCTATGGCCACTCAGCACCGAGGTTTGATGCACTCGCTCATGTGCCTCTCGGGCTCGCACCTGTCGGGTCTCCATCATGATCCGATGTTGGAGGAGCGAAAGTTCTATCATTACCACCGTGCTATCAGGGATCTCAAGGATAATATCACAGCATCTTCAGGTACTGCTGAGCAGGACCCTGAGCTTCTTATCGAAGATCCCATCATCGCATCCACGATTGCTCTCAGCTTGAACACCATCTGTGAAGGAGAAACCAAAGGGGAATACCGACCCCACATGGATGCCGCCCGGTATCTGCTGTCGACGCAGCAACCGAGGAATGAGAAGTTCCGGCAGTTTATCGTCGAGTTCTTCCAGTACCATGATGTCTCCAACTCCATCACTTCGCTGGATCGCCGCCCCGCCCATCTGCAGGGCGGCTTACGGCTGCCTGACTTTGTGCCACATGCGCAGGCAGGGATGTTCCTGGGAGTGTTCGATGGTCTGTTCAATTATATCTCCGAGGTAACTCGGATTCGAGACCGGATTCGACAGCGGTCCAATGAAGGCTACGAGCCTGCGGTTGACTACCAGATTCTGGGCGACGCCGTCTCCATCGACTCCGCCATCCGGGCTTGGGAGACCTCGTATACGCCCAACACGCCGAACTACTACCTGGCCCAACTATATCGCCAGTCCACCTGGGTCTACCTGTACCGCACCATCCGCCCGTCCCGACCAAGCGACAAAATTGCGCAGGTTGTGGACGACGGACTATCTTTTCTGGACCAGCTACCTCAGGATGCAGGTGCCTACAGTATTGTGCTGATGCCACTGTTCCTCCTGGGCTGTTCTGCCTTTGTGCCCCGCCAGCGTGAGAGGATCAAGAAGGGCTTTGAGACCCTCAAGGGCTACTCCAATCTCCGCAACATCGAGCCCGCCTTCAAGGTGGTGGAGCGAGTGTGGGAAGTGATGGACACGAAAATGGAAGAAAGTTGGGACTGGGAGAAGATCATCAGCGACATGAATATGGATTTCTTGATTACCTAGGCTATTTGCCGCTTCGATTTGCATTTTGCATATTTTCTTCTTTTCGGTTCGGTCCGGTTGCATGGTCCGTCGTTCTTACTGGTGACGATCTTTTCGTTGTTCGATGTATGTATTTCTTTCTTCTGTTTCTTTTTTTCTTCCTTTTGTCTTCTTTCTTTACCATTCTTTTCTTTTTCTGGTCTACCGAATGGCGAATGGGCAACAGGACCCAAGGGGATCAGCTCCCAAAGCGAGACGGACGGACATGGCGTCAGCGGGCATGGATAGGGGCACAGTTCCGTATACCAACATACCAAAAGGGACACTGGCCGGTGGGAATGGTTTTGAGATGTATTTATATATATGACGGAGTATGCGTCTGATGAGTCGTGATGATATTTCTTCTTTCTTTTTCATTCTTGTGATACATGTATAAGATTACTGCATTGTATATACAGATAGTTAAGATTATTATCTTTATCAATCCTTATACCAGATTCCACATTACCTTGCATCACCTCCAGTAATAGCTACAGCAAACTACCTACACTAGTCAAATACCAACCCCCCAATGCACCCAGCTGAATACTAGCTACCCAAGGCAACCTTACAGCAGTAGGTCCAAATTAACTTCCACTGACACATACCTGTTCCTGAATATGCTTGCTTTTAATTTGTTTCCTTTTTTTCTTCTCCTTATCATCATCCGTCTTATTTTCTTTTTCCTTCCCTCCCTTCCCCCTGCATTCTGCAGTTCATGTGTGTGTGTGTGTATGGTTGTAGATAAGCTCCCGCTAATCTCTTTCCCCTCTCGGGATTTGGCGTACTGGTACTAATTAGTAAAGTCGGGTTGGAATTGGTTGGGCATAAATTATTGCTAGTACTATGTCCATTTTTAAGTGAATACTACTGGATAGAGGGGTATGTGAGAACCAATGGATGGGTAGGGTTGGCTTAGTGCTTAGGAGGGAGATCAACATACCTTGGCTGATCTACTGAGGTAGATTTGTTTTTGGGTACTAGTAAGGAGCGGAGCTGAAAGCCGAGAGAGAGAGAGAGGGTGTGGTATGAATGATGATCGTGATCGTCGTTGGTTTTGTGATGTATGTAGAGGGAGAATATAGAGGAGGGTTTGTTTACTGGAAGGATATTTGCCTGGTTTACGAAGGTAGGTAATAACCACAGACCGGTTTATGTTAATGCGCATAGATAGATAAGTGCAAGGAGTCAATTCTATTCTATTCTATTCGATCTATATCTGTTCTCAGGGGTAAGGTTTTATCCAGCTGCTGGAGTCGGTTACAGAATGGATGGCTACGTCGGAATTTTGATGCATGCAACGGGAGGGATGGTATCAATCCATCACTGCATAGTCCCATAGTCAAGACCTGCTTCCTCAGTCGGAACAGGTTGCATATGCTCTGTTGTTCGGGGACCAGTGTATCTCCTGTTCATCTAGTCAGTAACCACTCTCTTCTTTATAACTCATAAGGAAATAGAAAGATAACTCACCCCCTCGCAGCAACCCACCACCAAACCAGCGCAAACGCAGCGATGAAAATACCGACGCAGATGCCGTAGTTCCTTATCACTAATCAGCCTCGTCTGGATACTCAATTAAGGGATATGAACGTACATATTCGACACCGTCACCGGCACCGTCGGCGGAAAGAACAGCACCGAGCTGATAAACATAACCCATATTACCGATACCCAGTTGATGTACGGTCCCCATCTTCCCAACGTAAACGGCCCCTCGATGAACTTGACCTGCTTTCGGTATATCTGATGCGCTAGAATCACAGACACGTAGGAGAGATCTAATGCCGGCGCGGTGATGCTGAAGATCGCGGTGGCGGTGTGGGTCGAGCCGATGGCAATGCAGTTCAGGCAGATGCTGAAGAAGACGACGAACCAGACGGCGTTGACGGGGGTTTGGGTGTATGGGTTTATTTGGGAGAGGAAGCTGGGTGGTTTGTGCTGTTAGTTGGATTTGCTTGTCGGATGAGGGGTGGTAGGGAGCATACGAAGAAAAGGGTAGGGCTTCATCACGAGCAAAAGCGTAGGCCATTCGAGTGTCTGCTAGCATGGCGGAACAGCCGGTGAAGAATTGTACGAGGATTGCTAGACCCCACATCGCTGAGCCACCTAGTTTTCCTCCGGCGTTGAGGAAGATCTGGGCTGCTGGGAGGCCGGTGGGGGTGTTGAGGATGCCTTCGTAGTCGGTGAGACAGAAGCACATTGATATAGTCAGGATCCAGCCAAGTATGCCGGAGACTATCACGGCCCATTGGATGGCTAGGGGGCCTAGGGCTGCTGCGTTGTGGGTCTCTTCGGACATGCTGGGACTATGTGTGAGCAGGTCTGGGTATTGACATAGATATAAGGTGGACTTACTGTGTGGTTCCGTCGTAGTCGGTCATTGTCCATGCAACTGAGATGAAGCCTAGTAGGAATGAGAATACCTTTGATCCCCATCCGGATCCATCTGTGAAGTGGGTGAACACCCAGGTAGCTGGCTGCTTCTCGGGGGTGAACCATAACAGGGAGAAGCAGATACAGAATGTCGCGGCAACTGGTTGGTCAGCTGTGTTCTAATTACTCGAGAGAATGACTTACTATTTATTGGGGCAAACCAAAGGAAGATCTGGTGCAGAGACTTGGTGGTCATTGAGCAGATCACACCCAGTAGGCAGAGCAATATCACAGACAAGAGCACCGTATCCAATGCAGAACTATCCCGTTAGCTCAGATAGTTGACAGACTACAGGCGATGACCTACGGTGAGTATGAATACTCCCCATCCACCAGCTCCGAATTCATACTCGCACATGCAAGTAACATCTGACTGACAGTATAGGCGACACTGGACACTCCCGCCGTCTGTCCGAGGAGGTTACACCACCCCTGCACCCAGGAGAAGATGGGCACATGTTCATCTGGAACTACATGCTTTGTAACAAAGTACATGCCCCCGGCAGTAGGGTAAGCAGAGACCAGCTCTGCCACCGAGCTGCCGATACATAAGGCCATGCAGGAGCCCACGAACCAACACCATACTGCGGTTGCTGGGCCTCCTGCAGCCAGGGGTGCGCCAAAAGTGGCGGGCACTGAGCCTAATATGCCTAGGATGGAGATGGCATAAGAGACGGTGGACCATTTTGAGAATTCACGTTTCAATTCCTGGACTGTCAGGCACCAGATGGTGGATACGGGCGCTGGACCATACCTGTTTGTAGCCAATGCGGGCTAAGAGAAGCTCGTCATTGTCGTGGATGGTAGCCATCGCACTGGGAGTGTGGATATAGTTTTACCCAGAAACAAATGAAGCAACGAGAGCGTGTGGTGTGTCGGAAGCGATATTCAAGTTAGGTCTGTAGATTCCGACCAGTGATCGTCGGGATCAGTCGATGCGGAACTTCACCCGCTCAGTTGCCGATCAAGAGTCGGTGAGAACCCCGCGAGGATCACCACGAGCACTGGCGATGAATTTGAAGGATTACTAATGATAAATAAGAGCTTGAGAATGCCGGTAGGTCTTCAGTATTGGGAAAGGTCAGAAAATCGGATAGAATTCCGTCGTGGGAAGAACAAATTCGAATTTCGACAGAAGTGGCTGGGGGAAGGGTAGATGCATGAGATGCATTCTTATCAGGGCCGAACTGATAAATCCCAGCAAGGGCATCCCTACACCTCCTACGCTTATACTCCGAGGACATCCTCGCATAATTCTCGAATCATTCTGATTCATGGCGTCTGGTTTCAGATAGCTTCTTACGTTCTCAGGTAACGGACTGCGCACGGGTTTGCTCCGCGCAGTCCACCCCTAAGTTCACGTCAACTGTACTAGATAGATGTTAGAAAACCAGTGCGCCATTGAAGCGCAACAGTCTTGGTAAGCATGACATGAGAAACAACGATGAGCTTTTCATATACCAGTACTGAATTAGTGGAACCACTGGCTTTAGCGATATGAGCGAAGTCGCAGAGTATGCTCTACGCTGCGCATGCAAGGTAGGATCTGTTAGCCCTCGTAAAAGTGACAGTGACGAAGAGTGATTATATATTTGAATGGCAGCTTGTATACTCATCGCATGCAGTAATCTACCGCGCGAATCCCACATTCGTTGATGCGCTTCATTCCAAAAAGATATATATATATATATATATATATATATATATAAAAAAAAAAAGCGGGCCAAAAAATCAGTCCGGTCAAAACCAAAGATGAGAGCTTGTTCATAAGACGTCCTGATCCGCTATATTCCACCTCCCGTACTACTAGTCAATCACGAAGGTTCCGACTGGCCACTCCTCTGAGATAACTTCATGATAGGCATCACACTCCAGGCGTGCTGTCACAGCCTCCCTGATGCTGTGCCTGGGGTGGCCTTGATAAGGCCTGAGCCGCAGCAACCCAACTCTACGATAACGATGCGTTCCACTGCTGCTGGCTGCAATTCTCGTCTGTGGCTGTAGAATGAGGAGATAGAGCACTGGTGGATCAAAATTGGTCACTTCTGCAACTTGGATTAAAGTGAAGTCCGTGCTGCTGCTCGGAACGATAACAGAGCCGCTCGTTTCCGTTTCTGCGAGGTAGCCAGGTCTCGCAAGAGCGACCTGCGCCAGCTCCCTCATGCTTGCCAACGGACCAGGTCGTATAAGGGCCCTTTGTACAACCCGCGTGAGGTTCCATCGGGACTTGGAATAGCTATCGAGTCTCAAATGGAGATGCCGATACGGCGCTTCCAGTGTTAGTTCCGCGCCCTTTATATGGCCGAAGACGCCATGGAGCTGGCCGTGGGCCTTGTAATCGACAATCTTTGCTAGATACTTGTATTTGCGCAACCATCTCAACCGGGGCCACTTCAAACCGACATAAGTGTCTGTCCCAATCCAGCTCCAGGACGGCTTGCGTTGCTTTGAATAGACACCCACCGGAGCATATATTTTTCTATTATGTTCGTATTCATAACTGATATTCCGAACCTCAGAGCATTTAGCGGTGCTAGCAAGCGGCCCTGGGTAGTGCCCATTACGGTGTGTGCTCCATAATAACCCAAATAAGAGGTCCCCCCTCCATAATCCCGCGCAGTACTGTTCTCCTAGCGGTGCATGGAAGAACTCGGCCAATGCTTCGATCGCCGGCAAGCGATCTCTTTCGAATTTGAGATCCCGTGATACATAATTTTCCAGCAGCAGGTACCAATTCAGATAGGGATCTGGCATGAAGTATGCGTTGCATACTTTATCTGGCTTAGGCAGAGGAACCGGTAGTGACTCTGAAGTCTCTAAGAAAGAGGCAGTAGTGGGTTTCTTCTCTGGCTCCCTAATCGTCCCAGTGCGGCATTTCCAAATCATCTCTTCTTTAGTGTAATACAATAGTCTTTTCGACAGTAATTCCTCTTGGAATGTCCAGCCTCTGGTGGCCCAGCGCGAATGCCGTGCCGGCTCCTTGTCAACCATATCCGTGTAACCCCGAAGGACAACAGGATACGCGCGCGAAACATTATTGACGCTACTTTTGTGGGACCCTCGACGCCAAGGGAAAGGGCAGCTAAAGTACGGTGCCCTTTTGTCTAGAAATCCATCGTCCGCAGTTTCTGCGCTGGTAGCGGCGATGGTGACAGCCGCATATCGGTATATGCGGCTCATTCTTGAAGCTTCGACCGCCCAGTCGTTACTGTCATCTTGAAAAATACAGAGAGAGTCAATCCATAAGTATCGTAGTCCCAGTGCTCTAGTCACCAGGACAGCGTCCCGTAGAGTGGCTGGAAAGGTCGCTAGAGATCGTCCGCTGCGGAGATTGTCAACAGACGAGGCGCTGAGAATGAAATTCGAGTCTCCGCCCCAGCAATAGCTCAATGCCGCCCATTTCCCGGTTTCACCGTCTGCACTGACGTGTAAATGTGGTTGTATGAGCGAGTCCCCTACGTCAATGACTCGTGTGGGAAGAAAATGCGCTCCGTCTTCGTATCCATCGCATATTGCATGCTTCCGGCAGCATTTATCTAGCCAACTGACCGCCAGAGAAAGACATCTCTCAGAGCGTAGATCAAAAGGCAATTCATCACGACCAACATCTTCAAGGAGATGTGCGTCTCGCTCTGGTATCTCTGCGCCTTTTCGGCGTTAGCGTACTCTCTGAGCCTTCCAGCCTCTGGGTACCTACCCTTAGCAGTGCATATATTCAACTTTGCGATTACTCCGACATCGTTGCAGATATTCGGGTCCCGCTTCCCCTTATCATCCGGCATGACTAGGACTACCAACCGAAGGCAGTGATGATGACGACCGATTCCCTGATGGATAGAAAAGAGCAGCGGCCCTCGACATCGCTTACATGCACAATCGTCCGACTCATGCGTCTCAGTGTCAACGCAGTACTTTATGTCACTCTTTTGGGACCAGAAGTGACAATGATGTGCCCAAACCATTCTGCAAAATTCACAACCAATCTTCACAGCATCATGAAGAGCGGTGATATTCGCGTGGTGTGCCTGAAATCCCTTGGATTTGAGAATGTTGTAGGACCAGCCAGTCCAAGGGTCCCTTGTTAGATAAAGCTCACGGGTATCATGGTAAGATTGCAAGAGATCTCGGATGTCGATGCTCTGGCAGGCATCGCATAACTTCATCCTTCAGAGAATACAGGACGAGATCTTCGTTAACTCTATCACAACACGATATGAATGTCTGATTTGGATCGACTAAAGCATTTTCAAAAGACACTGGCATCTGAGGGCCACTGTCCAGACATTTCAACAGAGAAAAAGCAATCCCGGAAGTTTACGAGGCTATGCTGTGACCAGGAGCCCAACCACTGAGCCATCAATAAGAGTTGGGCAGATGAATACATCGCGCACTGCGGAGTAATTCCTGTCGTTCGCATGGGCCTTTTCATATGAAGTCTTCCCACCCACCCAAGTGCACTATTCAAAACCCGTAGATACCATAGACACCAAACATGCATAATATTCTTTATGGTTTAGGAATCAGCCGTGACTTTTATAGTTGGCTGTACCTGAGTCCGGGCATCCACATAGACCAAGAATGCCAGAAATGTGGCCGCTGAATAAGCAGGCGCTAGGCCGAGAGGGGGAAGCGGCCAAGGCCACGGGTTCTCCTCCGACGAGGAAGTGTTTAGGTGGTCAGTTGCGATTAATTGCTATACTTCCCCTTTTCTTGGTGCAAATCCTTCCCGGCTGTCGTCTTGCAGCATTCGGTGATGGTCCGTGGCTGACAGGGTTTCTCTTCGCCGGTGATCGATCCCTCTGTCCCCTCGTTCACATTCGTTGATTTGCTTCCCCCGCGTTATGAAGCACTATGGCCGACCCCAACATGTATCATACCTACGGCCAGGCTCCGGTGCCTGGTGAAAACCCCTCCGATCCCAATCAAATGGCATATCAGGTGCCTCCGCAAGGCTATCCTGCCGCTGGAGTTCCTCCCGGCCCTTCGCCTCCCCAGCCCGGTGCTGCGTACGGAGTTCCTGCCCCTAATCAACAATGGCCCGCCTATGGCTCTCCCCCGCCAGCACAGCAGCCTCTGCAACAACCACCGTCACAATTCGCATACCAAGCCGATCCGCAAGCTGCGGGGGGTGCCCCTGTGGACCCCGGAATGGCTGGGCTAGCATCTCAGATGAGTGGTTTGGGAATAATGGGAGGTGAAGGAGGAGCGGCCCGGTCAAGCAAGAAGAAGCATCGGCATGCGCACCATGAGATTGCTGGTGCTTCGGCATCCGTCGCGCAACCCTTTGCAGCTGCTCCCCAGGACCCCATGCAGCCAACCTCGCAGTTCCTCAACACCGGCTTGAACCAAGCACCTCGTCCCATCTCGCCCGCCGCGAGCATCCCCGCCCCCGTGAACCCAGCGTTCGGAGGTGGTGCCGGTGCAGTTCCGACACAAGGGAAGGTCGATCCGGAGCAGATTCCCAGCATTCCCCGGTCTCGCGATATACCTGCGCAATACTACTTTAATCATGTGTACCCGACGATGGAGCGGCATCTTCCTCCTCCGGCGGCGGTTCCGTTCGTCGCCCACGACCAGGGCAATTCGTCCCCCAAGTACGCCCGTCTCACCTTGAACAACATCCCATCCACCTCCGACTTCCTCTCCTCCACGGGTCTTCCTCTGGGCATGGTATTGCAGCCGTTGGCACGCCTAGACGGCGAGCAGCCGATCCCGGTGCTGGACTTTGGCGACGCTGGGCCGCCGCGGTGCCGCCGGTGCAGAGCGTATATCAATCCCTTCATGTCGTTCCGCTCCGGCGGAAACAAGTTTGTCTGTAACATGTGCACATTCCCCAACGATGTGCCGCCAGAATACTTTGCCCCGCTGGACCCGTCCGGCTCGCGCATCGACCGCATGCAGCGTCCGGAGCTGATGATGGGAACCGTGGAGTTCTTGGTGCCGAAGGATTACTGGAATAAGGAGCCTGTTGGTCTTCAGTGGCTATTCTTGATTGATGTCAGCCAGGAATCGGTGAACAAGGGATTCCTGAAGGGCGTGTGCAAGGGTATCATGGAAGCGTTGTACAGCGAGGAGACGGAAAATCCCGAGGATGAGGCCCCCTCAAGGCGGATACCTGAAGGCGCCAAGGTTGGCATTGTCACTTATGACAAGGAGGTGCACTTCTACAACCTTAGTGTAGGTTCTCGAATCATCCCCTGTCGCTCCCAAGCTTACAGTTCCAGGCACAACTCGACCAGGCACAGATGATGGTGATGACCGATTTGGAGGAGCCGTTCGTCCCTCTCAGTGAGGGGCTGTTTGTTGACCCCTACGAGTCTAAGTGCGTCTCTTACACGATCGTGGTGGAACTATGCAACTAACAAAACTAGGGACGTCATCACCTCTCTGCTGCAGCGCATCCCGACCATCTTCTCTCATGTTAAGAACCCACAGCCAGCCTTGCTGCCCGCCCTCAACGCGGCATTGTCTGCCTTGAGACCGACTGGCGGTAAGATCGTGGGCACGATCGCTAGCCTGCCCACTTGGGGTCCTGGTGCGCTGTCCCTACGAGACGACCCCAAGGTCCACGGCACCGATGCGGAGAGGAAGCTGTTCACGACCGAGCATGCAGGATGGCGTGAGACGGCCGGGCATCTGGCTGAAGCAGGAATCGGACTGGACATGTTTATCGCAGCACCGAGCGGAACATACATGGATGTTGCTACGATTGGTGAGTTGACACGCGCTACCCTGCCTGACTACGCTAACGTTGGCAGGCCACGTCCCTGAGGTAACCGGCGGTGAGACCTTTTTCTACCCGAACTTCCACGCACCTCGCGATATTCGCAAGCTTTCGAAGGAATTGGCGCATGCGATCACGCGAGAGACGGGCTACCAGGCCCTGATGAAGGTCCGTTGTTCGAATGGACTGCAGGTGTCAGGCTATCATGGCAACTTTGTCCAGCACACGTTCGGAGCCGACCTCGAGATCGGAGCCATCGATGCCGACAAGGCTATCGGAGTGGTGTTCAGCTACGATGGAAAGCTCGACCCGAAGCTGGATGCCCACTTCCAGGCAGCCTTGCTGTATACTTCGGCTAATGGCCAGCGTCGGGTGCGGTGCATCAACACCGTGGCTGCAGTGAATGAGGGTGGCATGGAGACGATGAAGTTTGTGGATCAGGACGCAGTGGTCGCAATGGTGGCCAAGGATGGTATGTTTGCTCTATCGGCAGGAATGACAAATGCTAACGAAAACTACAGCGGCCTCCAAGACCCTAGACAAGTCCCTCAAGGACATCCGGGCAAGCGTTTCCGAGAGGACGGTGGACATCTTCAGCGGATACCGCAAGATCTTCTCCGGATCTCATCCTCCCGGACAATTGGTGTTGCCAGAGAACCTGAAAGAGTTCTCGATGTACATGCTCAGCCTGATCAAGTCGCGGGCTATTAAAGGTAAGACCGCTCAATTCCCCTTTCGCTCACCGTCAATCGGAGAAACACGGTTGTCTGACAGCATGCAGGCGGACAAGAGGCGTCGGACCGACGCATCCACGACATGCGGATGCTGCGGTCCATCGGGTGCACGGAGCTGTCACTGTACCTGTACCCCCGCATTATTCCGATCCACAACATGCAGCCGACCGACGGATTCCCCAACGAACAGGGACAACTGCAAGTGCCCCCCTCGCTGCGGGCCAGCTTCTCCAAAATTGAGGAAGGCGGGGCGTACCTGGTGGACAACGGGCAGCAGTGCCTGTTGTGGCTGCACTCACATGTGTCGCCCAACCTCCTGGAGGACCTGTTTGGCGAGGGCCAGACGTCGCTGCAGGGGTTGAGTCCACAGACCTCGACGATCCCAGTGCTGGAGACGCATTTGAACGCGCAGGTGCGCAATTTACTGCAGTACTTCTCAACGATCCGGGGATCCAAGGCCGTGACGATCCAGCTGGCGCGGCAGGGTCTAGACGGGGCGGAGTACGAGTTTGCGCGGATGCTGGTAGAGGACCGCAACAACGAGGCGCAGAGCTCGGTAGACTGGCTGGTACACATTCACCGGCAAATCAACCTAGAGCTGGCGGGGCATCGCAAACGCGAGGACACCGCGGGGGAGGGGGGATTGACGAGTTTGGCGGGTCTCCGAGCGCCATATTGGTAGGATAGAAGGGGGGGTTGACTACAGGGTACAGGAAACATTTCTACACATATTTTGGTTCAAGAGAAAGAATTTGGAAGAGAGGGGGGTTGTTCCAGAAGCGGCAGTGACTTGCAATATACCACGGTTGAGAAGCGCGTTGACAGAAAGGGTTCAGTTCCGTACAGTTTGGATTCTTGGGATCCTTTTCAGGGTCTTTTTCTTTCTCACGATCAGACAATGCCCAGGAAGCAGCAGTAGCAGTAGCAGTAAGCAGTAGTAAGTAGAAAAAGGCAGGTATGGCGTAATAGTAGATTGGTGTATGCGCAAGTGTCTGTGCCACCACAAACACACCATGTAAAGAGAAAAAAGACGTACAGTAAAGAGGCAACACCTTCCGAGAAAGGATAGGCACACGAGAAATCCAAGAAGAGGGGGGCAATGAGGGGGTAAAGATTCTTAGCAGGAGGGGAAGAAAGAAAGAAAGCGAAGACCACAAAATCTAGATGGCACAAGGTTCTAGACTTTCCATCCACCCAAATCGAAGAACTTTTATTCTCTACAAGGAAAAAAGGAAGAAAATCGGGAAAAAGTAGAATAAGGTCGGACTAGGTTCGGAGACTAGAATTAGTTAGGACTTAGTTAGTGGGTGGGTGAGTGGTGGTG